TGTCCCTTATATAAAATGGCAAAATCAAGGTTTGCTTTTTAAAAATTTATATATTTTTTGAATATTTTTCAAGCTGTGAATGCTTGAATCCATGGATATGGAGGGCTGACTGTATATGTCACGTAACTGTAAACGAAGCATATGAAACGACTTTATATTTATCTTCGAATTTTTAGCTTTCATTTGGTGATGTCCTATACTTTTCTTGGAACGTCTTACATTTTGCTGTGCCTTGTCCTCCTTTGCAGTTATGGCATCTGATCACCCAGTTTTTATCCAAGTTCATTGCAAAGCCCAACTCCCACTTGGATGGGTCTGGAATCCTCTTATTTCGGCCAGAAACTTTTGGGATCAGTTTAGGGCAGAAGAACGCACATGTGCATTCGCTTTGCTAGCTGAGAAAACCAGCCCAAGGCAAATTAGCAGTTCAGTGTTAACAACCGAGTTTCTCTCTGGCTGGCTGGCAAAGGAGCAGGACTTTTCCTGCCAGGTTTAGTAATAGCACACTTAAGTTTGATTGTGGAGGGAAAGCTGAAATTCCCTGGCTGAAAAGGCATGCTAGATTTGCTTTATACTGGTGTTTTAAAAACCTGGATAATTCCTCCAGGAGGGGCAAGGAAATCTCCAAAGAAGAGACTTAAAGTGAGTCAGATGCAAAGAGCAATTGGAGGAAAGAGAGAAAAGGGCAGGAGAGAAATATTGGCTGAGGATACACCTTGCAAGGCTGAAAGCATGCAAGATATTCCTGGCACGCAGAAGCATCTTTTTCACACTTGGGCCTTGATCTGCATGTTAGTTAGTACCAACTGGAATAAAATTGGGGGAGGTAAATCTGCAAATTTTGTTCTCATACGCAAAAGTAAATGACGTTACTGTTTTTCTCCTCACTGTGAGAAAGGAATTAAAAGCTGCAGCGTTTGAAATCCATTCACAGAGCAGGATGTATTCTGTCAAAAAGAAGCATGCACTTCTTTGTGTCCAGGGAATAACATTTTCTGCACAGGAGATGTCACAAAAGTGTGGATTTCGGCACAGAAGTCACTGTTTTCTGTGCAGAAAGTATATATTTTTCACACAGAACAAATCCTGAGCTGTGGGGATTCCTGAAGTGTCTAGGATTCTCTCCGCAAGGCAAGGAGAGTCTCTTTTGCTGTAAATTGAGTTCAAATTACTGGTACAAGAAATAGGATTTCACCCAAGCATTATGAAGAACGTCTTCGTGGTAAGAGCTGTTCAACAGCAGAATGGGTTACTTTGGGGAGTATTGGACTTGCCTTCTTTGGAAGCCTTTAAACTTAGTGGATGGGCATCTCTCAGGAGCATTTTGGCTGGGTACCCCTGCATGACAGTGGGGTTGGACTAAATGCCCTTTGGGGTCCCTTCCAACTATGATTTTCAGGTTTCCTAACACTTGAGAAACTCATTTCTCACAGTTTTTGAGAGTACACTGGTCCCTCCATATTCATGAGGGTTAGGGGCACAGGACCCCCATGAACGTGGGAGTATTGCAAATAACAAAACACTATGTTTTTACCTGAGAGAACACCTCTCTAGGAATTTCTAGGTCCTCCAGTGCAACTCTATGGTCAACATCTGCCAGACATTGACTATAGAATTGTGATGGAGGACCTACAAATACCTAGTGGCGTGTTCTCTCTAGGAATCTCTAGGTCCTTTAGTGCGACTTTTGGTTAAAGTTGACCATAGAGTTCCCCCGGAGCACCTAGAGATTCTTAAAGAGAACATATTAATAAAATCCGTGAATAATCAAATCCACAAAAGTCAAAGCTGCAAATGTGGAGGGACTCAACTATTCTTTTCATCTAGAGTATACCCATTGACTCAATATGTCCAGGATCTTTTGGGTGTTTCATGCACATAGGAAGTCCTTTATGCAGGTGATTGTGTTATTATTATTATTATTATTATTACCGTGATGTGATGTGTGTATCTAGTTTGCAGCTGAGTCAACAGAGTTCTATATATGTAACCATTGCACACGCAGTGTTTTATACTTGGTGGTGTGTAATGATTCATGAGTGCCTTCAATGTGCCGCTTGATTCTATGGGATGTCAGAAAGAGTCATTGCACACCTTCTGTTGCACAATGGGGTAACAAGCAAATACGTTGGCAAAAAAATGAAATGCATAGATATAAGATGGGGGACACCTGGCTTAAGTAGACTATGGGCCTTTGCAGACTGCCAGAAATAGTGCACATTAAATTGAGGCACTGCCCTGGCTCAATGCTAGGGAATCATGGGAACTGTAATTTATTATGGCACCAGAGCTTTCTGGCAGAGAAGGCTCAATGTCTCAGAAAAAAAATGCAATTCCCATGACTCCCTAGCACTGAGCCAGGGCAGTGCCTCAATTTAATGTGCACTATTTCTGGCAGTCTGCAAAGGCCCTATGTGTGAAAGGGATCTAGGAGGGATCTAGTTGACCATGAGTTAAACATGAGTCAACAGTGTAATGCAGCAGCTAAAAAGACCAATGCGATTATAGGCTGCATCAATAGAAGTATAGTATCTAGATCAAGGGAAGAAATAG